GTTATGTAATAAATTTAACTTTTCCCATCATAGTTTTGGATTATATCTATTGATTAAATGCACGAGGAGGTGACATGGGTTGCTTAATTCCCAAGTCCTTTTTTTTTTTTGTAATGTTTTCCTACTTCCCATTTTTTTCTCTCTTTTTAACAGTTCCTATTTTTTTTACCCCCTGTATCCAACATTTTCACTTTTTTTACCCCTTATATCTTACATCTTAAAAGCGTATATTTATAGGCGTAAGAAAGGAAAGAAGATGCCAAGGAGCAATCAAAAACAATAAGACGAAGAAAAACAGACAACACCATGACCAAAGAAAACCGAAAAATCAAAACACTGTACGAGAAACTGAGCCATGATTGTGCAACACAAACACGACCAATTAAAACCGAGACGAACTCATGTGTCCCGAAAGGTTCAGCAGCTTCTGACAAACTAATGACACCAACCATGTTACTCCTATTCAAAAACAAAAGATGGATATCTATATAGATTGAATCAGTTTGGTTACTCACAAGAAGTTTACTATAAAAAATGAAAACAACACGTTAAATAATTGCATGCGTCCGAAGCGCTTTTCTGGATTTACCTTCATCAGGAACGCTCAAAGCCGAATATTTGAAAGCCGAGGATGTATAAGTACTGAAACAGTTGAGGAGCTTTATGACATAAATACATAAGAAAAATAGCCAAATACATGTAAGGTCAACTTTGCTTGAGGGAGTTGAAACCTTAGCTTCTTTATAATTTCAAAATTTATAAACAGACAATTTTAGAAACGTTTGTCATAAATCATGTCAGTACCGAAGTACTGACTACTGAGTTGATGATACCCTCGGGGACTGATAGTCCACCAGCAGAAGTAGCGACCCAGTGCTGTAAAAAATGAAAACAACACGTTAAATAATTGCATGCGTCCGAATCGCTATTCTGGACTTACCTACATCAGGAACGCTCAAAGCCGAATATTTGAAAACCGAGGATGTATAAGTACCGAAACAGTTAAGGAGCTTTATGACAAAAAATACCTTAAAAAAATAGCCAAATCCATCTAAGGTCAACTTTGCTTGAGGGAGTTGAAACCTTAGTTTCTTTATAATTTCAAAATTTATAAACGGACAATTTTAGAAAGGTTTGTTATAAATCATGTCAGTACTGAAGTACTGACAACTGAGCTGATGATACCCTCGGGGACTGATAGTCCACCAGCAGAGGTATCGACCCAGTGATGTAAAAAATGAAAACAACACGTTAAATAATTTCATGCGTCCGACGCGCTTTCCTGGATTTACCTTCATCAGGAACGCTCAAAGCCGAATATTTGTAAGCCGAGGATGTATAAGTACGAAACAGTTGCCTTGAAGAGCATTTATGACAAAAAATACCTAAAAAAATAGCCAAATCCATCTTAGGTCAACTTTGCTTGAGGGAGTTATAACAAATATCAAAATGCATGCCCCGTTCTATACTGTACGTTTTGATAGCCATTGACACGAATGTTAAAATTCCCCATGCAAAAATGTGTAAACTGTAGATTGAGTAATACAACACAAATCCAAGCACCAGTGGTACACGCTGTATTGTTTATACAAAGGGAAAATCTGGCGATCAGGCATATTAGATGATGTTACAATACAGAAAATAGGAGTGAACATGATGTTAAAGAATAGACTTCTACTTCTTCTTCTTGAAAAGCCCCCGTGTGAGATCTGTCTTGTACGAAAAAGGAAGCATATCGGACAAAGGGGAAGCACAGTTGATTCCAAAAGGAATGCCGACTAAATGTTGAAAAAGACACCTATCGTAACAAATAGCTCTTCATTTCAAAAACAAGTATCATGACGATATCAGTTTCACAGGTGCTCGGGGCATGGACTCCCCTTTTAAGTGCTTAAGATTTTTCATTAGATTTTCTTTAATATTTCAAAAGTTATTTCCCTTGTTCTACGTTTTTTTGCTCTTTTCCATACAATAATACAATAACTACAGTTTATATTTGCTGCTTAACTACCACGTGTTAACTACCCTTATTATCTAAATAAAACAAAGAATAAGGGAATATAAGTAGAAATATAAAAAATATGTAATAAAAAAATCTTAAACATGCAGAAAAACAGAAAAATGCCCTCAGCGCTATATGCATGGTCAGTTTTTGTTTTGAATCAGAGCTATTTACATAGTATGATTTGTGTTTTCCTTAAAGAAGATATTTGTATCTACATTGGAAGTTTTTTATCTAACTAAGATGGTATCATTATTACCACTGCCTTTGGTATTTCGACATTGCACGAGAAGGGGACTTTGAATGTATGTACTCTAACAGATCTCAGGATTTTATTTCCGCTGAAGATATGACCGCAACAAACATTCTCAGAGAATTGTCAGTAAAGCATATACATTTTCATCCAACGTGCTGCCATTCGTTGTCTGACCGTAAAACAGCCATCTACAGTGATTAATAAGCTGGGAAAAATAGAAATATTTATAGAAAGACTTGGTTTAAAATTGTAAATTGTATAGGTGAAATGATTTAATAATTTGCCAAACATATAAAACAAGAAGTTCCATCGAAAATGATTTGCAAAACAGTATATATAGTCTTGAAATATTTGTTCGGACAAAAAAAAGTTTGCGATTTCCTGTCGGAATCTTTTTATAAGCTTGAGATATCCTTTCAGACAAAAAAGTCCGATCGAAAAGTATTTACAAAAAAAAAATAAAAGCTTGCTATGAAAAACTGGCCAATTTAAGAATAAGTTTTATTTCATTAAACAGAATGCTCAAAATGTAAATACACATATCTTGAATGCATGGAAAAATTGTACTATGTTATAAACGAAACCTTATAAACCACGTTGGAAAAATTCTCTGAAACAGAAACTGAAATCATCATAATTTTATTGACAACATCAATATAATTTTCTCGGCATTTTAATGGGAATTAGCCGTGTCTTTTTTTTAACCGACTTGTTCTTTGATTCATACGAGGCAGACTTAATTAATAAAAAAAAAATTATGACTTTAGGTTAACAGATTTTATTGTCTGTTCTGACTAGGACTATAATACTCACGATATATTATATCCCAGGGGCCTGGTTTTCGAAAGTATCTTATGAATAAGACATGTCTTATGATGGTCTTAGGACATGTCATAGTCGTAATATATATGTTTTCGAAAGTGTCCCAAGTTACAATATGTCATAACTTTTGTCGTAAACTTAAGACTTCTCGCGACATGACTTATGATGGTCTTATGATTATCAACAAAAAATTTAATTACTTTCCATGTATAATTTCATGTTATTAAAGTACAATAAAATAGTTGTGTTGCTCGGTCGGCTAAATAGTAAAGATTTATTCTTCTCCACTTCGTCAATTAAAATTTGAATCTCCTGGGGCCTGGTTTTCGGGAGACCTAGGATATGTCTTAGTATATGTAAGAGAATGATAATCCCTTTCTTCATGATTAAGTACGAGCGTTAGCGAGTACTTATCATGAAGTAAGGGATTATCATTCTCTTACAAACTTAGAATATTGTAAAGTGCTTAAGGCTTAAATGATCTCTTGATTGGTTTTATTCAAGAATTAGTTTCTCTGTCAGTGCAATGTTTATAATTGATGCATGACTTCCTTTTTCGGCATGTTATTTATGGATTAGTTTTAGTGATGTAAGGACTTTCTTATCATTTGGGAAATATTTTTAACAAAAATGCGTTATAGATATAAGTTGACACGTACAACAGTACAAAGAAAATGTTGGAATTGTATATATTTACTGATTGTGAGTATGAATGTAAATCATGTAATATTTTAGTGAGGAATTATCCTTTTTTTATTATTTACAGTTTAAATCAATTAATACATTTGAGTTACAACTAAATTTTATTTCACAGCCAATATTTTGGTCCGGCTTTTTACATCAAATACTATTTCATTATGTCAGGGAAATGTTCAAATAAAATGCCTTTAAAAGTTTTTAATTTGTTCAAAACTTAAATTCCTTTTTTTTTTTTTTTTATTTTATCGGACTATTGGAAATAACTAATCTTCCCGACAGCTGATCCAGTAATCAAAGTTTTGGAAAGCTAAAGATTTAGGTTATTTTTCATTTTAAACTTTTTTTTTTCTTTTTTTGCATGAGATTCAAAGTTTAATAGACGAAGTGGAGAAGAATAAATCTTTACTTTTTAGCAGACTGAGTAACACTAGTATTATTTTTATTGTAATGAACAAAAAATTATATATGAAAAGTAATTAAATGATTTGAGTTGATAGTCAAAAGACCATCATAAGTCATGTCGCGAAGTGTCTTAAGTTTACGATAAAATTTATGACATATCGTAACTTGGGACACCTTCGAAAACATGTCCTACGACTAAGACATGTCATAAGACCATCATAAGACATGTCTTAGTCATAAGATACTTTCGAAAACCAGGCCCCAGATTCTAAAGATTTTGATGGCGGTTCACAGTGCAGAACATGCATGAACTTTCTTTCCCCCGGCTACTAATGTATATGTAAATCCTTAATTACTCGCGACTCGTGACTGACACAACAGTGACATTGTGTATCGAACTGTCATCTACTGATAATCTCAGCAGGGATTTGTATACTATACAGTACAAATCCTTGATCTCAGAATTCAAATGGATTTTTTTCTCTCCTTTTTCTCATTATCAAAAGAAAGACGAAACCTTTGTAATTCGACTAACCGATCTAATAATATTTTAATAAGTTTTTAGAGGTGTGGGTCTGAAATGACTTTCAGTCTAGTTTTAAGAATTTAAAAAAATCGCAGTCTTTATATAGTAATCTATTTTTGTTTAATTTGTCATCAGGCATGAGTCATCAATTATCCTCATAATTTTGCTATCTTTTTCTAATGTCTACCTTCATGAGTGGTTTGAAAAACGGAAAAACGAACAAAATTATTTATTTCGGAAAACAAACGCAGTCCGCATCTGTGCACGTATTACTTTATTTTGTGGGAATCATTTAGGTGTTTATAATGGAGTGAAATTACATTCACACGTAAATAAACTGATTAACATTGAAAATACGTTTTTGGAAACAAATTGCATTTTGATTTTGCAGAAAAAAACTGAAATTGAAGAAAAATTGTCATTGATATTGATTTAAAATGAATAGAATTACTGATAGGGACTACGACTACTATGACTTTGAAGATGACAGTGATCACGAGCCTTGCGATAGGTACTATCATACAAATATAGATTATTTATTAAGATAGTTTAATAATTTTTACCAACAAATTTATATAGGCGCCCACTGAAGGAATGACAACTCAGCCAAACTTAAAAAATGAAATTTTGCATAACATTACAAACAAACTTAAACTAGTTAACAGGTTGGGGACAAGTCAGGAAATGTGGGGTATTCCCTGTTTTCAGGGAACACCCCAGTTTTCTGGTGTTAAAAAACCCCAGTTTACAAGGACTTCCTTTTTCTATTTCAATTTAAAGCATGACATCTACAAAAGCGCACATTTTAACTGCATCAGTAGTATCTGTAAATACTTAAAGTATTTCAGGAACAACAAAACATGAATAAGTGAAGCCTTGTTTTTTCTAAAACTCAAAAACATACAAATCTTTTGTTTAGGAGTCAATTGACCAAGTTGCATGCTCCAGGTGTAACTGACCATAACTGAATTATATTCACTTCTATTGAAAATTTCTATTCATTGAATTTAAATGCCCAAGTGATTAACTTATCTTTTTGTCATCTCATAATTGATGATCAAGGTATGAATTGGTGAACAAAGGAATTGTTTTGTTGTGAGTTTAGCATCAAATTAGACTTGAAATAAGCTTGATTTTTGAACTAATAAAAACACTTGCTATCATAAAGCATTGTTATCACATGTAGAATGTGCGCTTTTGTAGATTTCATACCATAAATTGAATAGGAAAAAAGAAGTCCCAGTATACTGGGGTTTTTAAACACCAGAAAACTGGGGTGTACCCTGAAAACAGGGAATACCCCACTTTTCCTGCCTTGAGCCCAACCTGGTTAAGCAATAGTGGTTCATATATATATATCCCCTTGTAAGTTGTAGTTGTACATCCTAGACTTATAGTTTTCTGTCTGGCCATACCAGAAATATTCTAGTTACATTTTCTCAGGCCTATCATCATTGATACTGTTCTTTAGCTGATAAAAAGATTCCAAAAATGTGCTTACATCCTCTTCATATGAACTCTTGTGGACTATATAGTTATCTTGGCAATCATACCATGCTCCTTATTTTTATATTGGCAATATCTTGACTGGAAATTGCCTTCTCTTTTCATGCATTGCTTGCAGTAAAGGTTAAATCAAAGAGATTTAAAAAATAAATGATGTAATGGGTCATGTGATCGACCAATGGTAATGTGATAAAAGCTGAGGAAATTGAAATTTACTTACCTTTTAACCACATGTTTTCTGTCAATACAATAGACTATTTTCAAATTGCCGACTTTTGACTCTGTTGTATATAGTTCGACAGGTTACCTACTCTGTGGAAGGCATTTTGGTACTCGTCATGTAAGAGCAACTTAAAGAAGTTAGTTTAAGCTTACAATGGGTGCAAGTTGGGTAAAAAATTCACTCTTTTATGTTTCCTATATACGACAAAATCATTGGAAATTAAAGGTTGTGACTTTGGATGGACAAATAAAGAATTTGACAGGGTTAAACAAGTTTGAGAGTTTCCAACCCTCCCCTAACCTGTGATAATGGTGTGACAACATAAGAACAAACTATATAAATCAGTTGAAAATGGCTTGACTCATCAAATTGATTCAAAGCACACAAAAAACAACTAACAAAAGGACTGTTCTGAGAATACATGTACTTGCAGTTACTGAAAGCTTGCTAGTTCAAAGCCAATAACAAATTAATTAAAAAAAAAATCATGTGTTCTGTCCAAGACTAAAATATCAATCAGCACAAATCCTATGGATTTAGTGTAAAGATGTAAGACAGAGTCAGGAATGTTGGTGGTTCTCTCCGGCTTCCTCCACTAATAAAAATTGACTGCAAGGAAATAGTGCAATAGCGCTGAAAGTGACGTTAAACACCAATCAATCAATCATCAGATAAAGTAAGAAAAAACATGATCTTGTGCAATATTAATGCCATATACATGCAGAAGTATGATATATTAATATATCTATGTTGATTTATGTCAGACATATCCTTTTTGAAATGATTAATTCTCTTACCAGCTCAGATGATGATTTAGAGGTTATTTTACATGGAACACCTGAACAGAAGCGTAAATTGCAGACCAAAGTCCAACAAAGACATGATTCTTCAAGTGAAGATGACTTTGAGAAGGAAATGAATAATGAACTGAACAAACATATTAAAGGACTGGAACACGAAAGATCAAAAAGTAATGTCACAGAAACTGTTCAAGGTAAAGATTAATCAAGTCCAAAATTTGTATTGAGAAATTATTAACATGATTAGGTACATATACAAGGAAGGGATAATTTAATTTGCACTAAAATGAAAACCCTGCTCCTTAAAATAATTATCTGCTTTCTCTAAGAAAAATTAGCTTTACTCCAAAAATTGTATTGATGTTTTGAAAAAAAATGTAAATTTTATATTCAGTTTGTCAGGAAGCACTTATAAAAAGTAATTGGTGGTTGGTTGAATAAATCTGTAACATGTGTAAGATTAGTATAGAATCTTGAACACTTTTTATTGTGTGTGGTTGAGATTGTATCCCTTCCCTCTACCAAACATAGTATTTTGGATCAGCAGTTAGAAATTACTGCAAAATTTTGCCTTAAGAGACATAGAAAGATTATTTTGCCATGGAACCATCTGGCCTGGGATTTTATCATTCTAATACAGGAAACTGAGGAACAGAAAATTTATTTGCTATTGTGGTGGTAAGCCTTTACAGTGATGTATCTTCATGATCTTATTCATGTCATATGACATTGCAACTTTTGTAGGTCTTTATGTAGGTGATCAAATGTTTCCTATTATATATTTGTTCATATTATAGAACCACAACTGTCCAGCAAAGATATTTACTGTAATGTATATATTGCATGTATTAATGACATTTCTGCAAATAATTATCTGAAGAAAAAACTATAATACAACAAACAGAACTAGTTTTGATAGAAGTTTCTATTCCAAATTTAAATTGATTACTCATCCAAATATCCAAGATGGTGATGGGTGCTATAGGACCTTGAAGAGAAAGGGACATTAAAAATCTTCTCCTCTGAAAATTAGTTCCATCAGAATAAATCTTAGCAGCAATTGTCCTTTATATTAAAGATGACAGTTATGTCTACCAACTATTTCTAAAATGGCTACATCTTAGTTTCTGAGTAATAATAATGCAAATTAAGATCTAAATTTGGTGAATAAATTCTGTGACGATCTTGTTTCAGAGATAAATTCAACCACTAGTTGAATTGGTATTAAAATTGTCTTTAAGAAAAAGGTACCATGGTAACAAACAATACATCTACAAACTTCTAGGCCATTCATTATAATCTTGGGCCAACAGGAATATAACCACTGTACTAGACTATAGCTACTAGTAAGACTTTGTTGGTAAGATTATCAAATACAGTATTCAACTGAACACTGTGTCAAAATACATAAACAGGGCTTTTAATGGGCATTTTTTTTTTGGTAATGCTTTGATGGGGTTCCTAACATCTTCTCCAGTTTTCTATGCAAGTATTTAATTGCAATAAATGTCAATAGCAAGTTAAAATACAGGTACAGTGACAATGTGATAGTGAAAAAAAATCAATGGGAGTATCTTCTTGTCATTTTAGATAGTAGCGAAGCTCAGGACCAAGAGAAACCTACAGAACAACAAAAGTTTTATGATGATATTTATTATGATTCGGAAGAAGAGGAAATGGTTTTACAAGGTAGGGAAAAAAATCGCAATATTAATCTTTACAAACCAGTGAACCACAATTTTCATTAAAAACATTTTAAGCTAACTTTGGGACAACTTACCAAAAAATACAACTGCACTGCCTAATCTGTAATCCAAAAATAAAATTTCAATGTTATTTTTTATATGACTGCAAAAATTATAATGTTATGACGTCAGCGTCGTATTTGTCGTCGTCAGAAGACATTTGGTTTCCAGACAATAACTTGAGTAAAGGTATATGGATCTCTATGAAATTGTATCACATGGTTCCATACCATAAAAGGAAGGTTGGGATTCATTTTTTGGGTAATTGTCCTTACTGTTTAGGAATGAGGGGCCAAAAACTATACAGTTTTTATACGACCGCAAACAATTTTTTGGGATCGTATAATGGTATGATGTCGTCGTCGTCGTCTGCTGCGTTGTCTGAAGACACATTTGGTTTCCGGACAATAACTTTAGTTTAAGTGAATGGATCTCTATGAAATTTTTAAAAAAGGTTCAATACCACAAAAGGAAGGTTGGGATTGATTTTGGGGATGATGGTCCCAACCGTTTAGGAATTAAGGGCCCAAAAGGGGCCCAAAACAAGCATTTTACTAGTTTCAGGATAATTACTTGTGTATAAGTATTTTGATTGCTCTGAAATTGTACCACAATGTTTAATACCACAAGTAGAAGGTTGGGAGTCATTTTTAGGGTTAAGGTGCCAACAGTTTAGGAATTAAGGGCCAAAAAGGGGCCAAAAACAAGCATTTTTGTAGTTTCCAGACAATAACTTGTGTGTGAGTGTATGGATCACTCTGACATTGTACCACAAGGTTCCATATTACAAAGGGAAGTCTGGGATTGAGTTTGGGGGTAATTGCCCCAAACATGGAGGAATAAGGGACCAAAAAAGGGCCAAAAACAAGCATTTTTCTAGTTTCCAGACAACAAGTTGTGTTTAAGTGAATGGATCTCTCTGAAATTGTACTACAAGGTTCCATACTACAAAGGAAAGGCTGGGATTGAGTTTGGGTGTAATTGCTCTAAGGAGGGATTCAAAAAGTTTGGGGGGGGGGATTTTTTTTCTAATTTTTTTAAGGGGTTCATATTTTTTTTCAAAATTTTTCAAATTTCAAATTTTTGAAAAGTTTCAAGAAGAAAGAAGAAACCTTCAATTGCACAGTATTGCGCAATAGATTTGTAAGATCTTTGACCACATTTATTTTGTGTCAGAAACCTATATTATGTCAAAAATGTGATCACAATCCAAATTCAGACAGTATCAAGCTTGAATATTGTGTCCAAATTTGCCCCAACTGTTCAGGGTTTGACCTCTGCGGTCGTATCAGGCTGCGCTCAGCGAAGCATTTTATTCTGGTTTCAGAACAATTATTTGTGTATAAGTGTATGGATCTCTATGAAATTGTACCACAAGGTTCCATACCTCAAAATGAAGATTGCTTGATTTTGTGGGCTACATGGCCCAAACTGTTTAGGAATAAGGGGCCAAAAAGTGACAAAAAAATTAAGATTTTCTGGTTTCCGGACAACTACTTGAATATAGGTCTATGGATCTCTATGAAATTTAACCACTAGGTTCATTCATGTACCAAAAAAGGAAGGTTGGGATTGATTTTGGGGGTTATGGCCCTAACTGTTTAGGGAGAAAGGGGCTAAAAACGATACTTTTCTAATACCTTGTATAAATTGCTTATATCTTGACCAATTTCAATTGGGTTTAAGTCAAAGTCTTGAATTCTTGGGGTTCTTTAATATGCTGAATCTAACCATGTATTTAGATTTTGGGCTCCATTTTTAGATAGGTCCACATTGAGGTCCAAAGGGTAAAGAAATTAACTATGTTTGATTTCATAAAAAATTGAATTATTTGGTTTCTTTTATATGGTGAATCTAACATATATTTATATTTTTAATTTTGGGGCCTGTTTTCAAATTGGTTCACCTTAAGGTCCAAAGGGACCAAAATTAAACTTTGTTCGATTTCAACAAAAAATTAATTCTTGGGGTTCTTTGATATGCTGAATGTAACCGTGTATTTAGAATTTTGATTTTGGCCCAGTTTTCAAGTTGGACCAAATTGGAACCAAAATTAAACTTTTTTGTTTGTTTTCAACAAAAATTGAATATATGGAGTTCTTTGATATGCTGAATCTGGGTCAAGACTCAAGATGTGCAATTCATTTTCCATAGGCGACAATGGTAGCCTTTTTTTCCATTCCTCTGTCCATAACATAAACTTGGATATATGTTTGATGGCCCATTTCGATGCTGAGACATTTTCACACATGTGGTTAAATTTTTGGGGTACGAAGTGAGATAAATTTTTTTTACAAATTGGGCAACCCCTTAAGGCCCTATGCGTTGCTACTCCAGCAAGTGAAAAGTCCTTATTTTCACACAGTTAAATTTTCTGAAAATTCAGTATTGTACAAACAGACATCGTGGATTCAAACTCCGGCCAGGTCAAACCAAAGACTTTAAATTGGTATTTGCTGCTTCTCCACTAAGCACGCAGCATTAAGGAGTAAGAGCAAAGACTGGTCGTCTTGAAATCAGAATAATGTGTCTGGGTAAGGTGACATGTCTTCCTGCGGACTGTTACCTTGTGAACTAGCACGTTAAAAAATCTGACTCAGCGCGTTGGTCTAGTACAAAGCAGAGTAAATATTCATATTACATTAACATGTTCTCGTCCTGAATATGCATATCAATTTGTCGTTGGATGTTAAGCAGCCTATCATCATCATCAATTACTTAAAATAGTATCATGTCCAATTTCATTGCATACAGGGTTTTTTATTTCTATTCATAGTTCAGTACCTCACTCTGAGGCGCATTAGGGATATTGACCCATCTTACTGTGTATTTAGATTTTGGATTTTTGGGCCCTGTTATCAAATTTGTCAACATTGAGATCCAAAGGGTCCAAAATTAAACCTTGTTTGATTTCATCTAAAATTGAATTCTTGGGGTTCTTTGATATGGATATTGGACATTAATAGGTAAATGTCCAATTTAAAATTTCTTAGACCACATTCCTCCTGTGTCAGAAACCTATGCTATGTCAGCCTATGTCAAATATTTAATCACAATTTAAATTAAAAGCTGTATTGCACGATTAATAGAAATTGAAAATAGATTCATAGTTAAAAATAGATACAGCATAATTTTATTTTTTGAGAAGAAATTAAGTATAAATATAGTTTGAAATTTACTGTTCATTACCGGTATTAGATATTTTGAAAATGATAAAAGGTAAGTTTTTTCTTTAGATATTTTAAAGACATTGTATTAATGATGAATGATATTTGGAAACTGTTATTTTCATTTTATTTGTAAATTTTTTTGAAGAACTTCATGGTAGGTTTGTTTGTTATTTGGTATAAATTAATTTTTCGAATGCTATATATTTATATATATTTTTTTTTTGATGAAGAGAACCCTTTTAAAACCTAAGCTAATATTGTCCATAAATAAATAAATAAATTCAATTCATGGTGTACTTGGATATGCTGAATCAAACTATGTATTTAGATTTGGATATTGGACCATAATAGGTAAAAGTCCAATTTCAAATTTTTCTGTTCTTTGACCACATTCATTCTGTTTCAGAAACCTATGCTGTGTCAAATATTTAATCACAATCCAAATTCAGAGCTGTATCAAGCTTGAATGTAGTATCCATACTTGCCCCAACTGTTCAGGGTTTGACCTCTACGGTCGTATCAATCTGCATCCAGCGGATCATTTTATTTTTCTATACTATTAATTCAGAAATTTTTGCAATGTTTTTGATATAGCAAAAGTTGTGACAGGGGATTAAAGGTTTCACAAAATAAAAACACACATTTTGAATTTTGATAGCATTAATTTACTTATAAGCAGCATTTCCTGAAATTGCGATAATAAAGATCACATTTTTGTCCATTATTCAACATTAACAATAATAAAAGACCTCAAAAATATCTAAATTTACACATAACTTGTGTCAGTTAAAATTCATACTGCATCTACAGATTTCATAATTACTAATATTTTTTGCAGGTGATGAACGTGTGAAAAGAAGACCACCAGTTCAAAGCAATGATGACTTACTGTACGATCCTGACCTTGACGATGAAGACCAGCGATGGGTGGATGCTGAACGACAAGCTTATCAGCCGGCTGTACCCTCAGGATCTAAATCAAAACGTCTAGCTAACAGTGATGCAGTTTTAAACTGTCCAGCCTGTATGACATTACTGTGTCTTGATTGTCAGGGGTAAGCTGCTTTAATTTTGATTTATTGCTTGGGTCACAATCCCCTAATGAGAAGTGGCTTAACAGAGGGTAGACCTGGGTAAAGCTAGATAATTCTTAAATTAGTAATGAGGGTGCTCATTTCCAAAATCTGGCTTTTTGGTAATTTTTTCCACTTTTTATGGCCCCCACAACAAAGCTGTGGGGGCCATATAGTTTTACACTTATCCGTCATTCCGTCATTCTGCAACATACAGTTATACAGACTTTTTTTCTAAACGCCTTCACATATTGAGCTGATTTTTATACGACCGCAAAAAATTTTTGCGGTCATATATTGGTATGACGTTGGCGTCGTCGTCGTCCGAAGACACATTGATTTTCGCACTCTTACTTTAGTTTAAGTGAATGGATCTCTTTGAAATTTTACCATAAGGTTCAATACCACAAAAGGAAGGTGGGGATTGATTTTGGGGGTTATGGTACCAACAGTTAAGGAATTAGGGGCCAAAAATAAGCATTTTCTAGTTTCCAGACAATATTGTGGAACGGTGTATGGATCTCTCTGAAATTATACTACAAGTTTCCATACCACAAAGGGATGGTTAGGATTTGCTTTGGGGGGTTATGGCTCAAACCGTTTTGGAATTAGGGGCAAAAAAGGGGGAAAAACAAGGTTGTCCTTGTTAATGGACAAATACTTTAGTACAAAACATAATTTAAAGCAGTGTAAGGGAGATAAATCAAATACATCATTGAAATTATCTCCCTTACACTGCTTTTAAATTATGTATAAAGTAATGGTTAATGAACAATTAAGATAATTTAAAACAGTGTAAGGGAGGTAATCCAAATACAACGTTTTGGTTATTTCCCTTACACTGCTTTTAAATTATGTTTAAAGAAATGCATATTTATAAAGGAATACCAGTAAAAATATCTGCAAATGTTGCATCTTTTTTTTTTTACAAAAAAATCCATATGAAAGATTTGACACTATATTTTAAATTCTATTATAAAATAGATTAAGTTAGTACTATGGTAAATTTAAATGGGTAATTATGGTTGCGAACTCCATTGGAAATTTAAATTGAGATTATGACCATATCTTGAGGGAAAGAATTTTTTGGGAGAAAAAAAGGGGGGGGGGGGGTATAAAGAAATTGTGGGGGTCAATTTTTTCTCATTTCAGATTTCAGAAATAAAAAAGAATTATTCTTCAAATATTTTTTTTTTTTCAAATTTCAAATATTGAAAAATTTCAAGAAGTAATCTTTAATTGCACAGTATGGCGCATTAGATTTGTAAAATCTTTGACCACATTTATTTATTTGTTATGCCGAATCTAACCGTGTATTTAGATTTTTATTTTTGGGTCCAGTTATCAAATTGGTCTACATTAAGGTCCAAAGGGTCCAAAATTAAACTTTGTTTGATTTTAACAAAAATTGAATATATTGGGTTCTTTGATATGCTGAATCTAAACATGTATTTAGATTTTTGATTTTTGGCCCAGTTTTCAAGTTGGTCCAATTTGGGGTCCAAAATAAAACTTTGTTTGATTTCAACAAAAATTGAATATATGGGGTTCTTTGATATGCTGAATCTAACCATGTATTTAGATTTTTTATTTGTGGTCCCCGCTATCAAATTGGTTCATATTGAGGTCAAAAGGGTCCAAAATTAAACTTTGTTTGATTTCATCAAGAATTGAATTATTGGGGTTCTTTGATATGCCAAATCTAACCGTGTATTTAGATTTTTAATTTTGGGTCCCGTTTTTTAAATTGGTCTACATTAAGGTCCAAAGGGTCCAAAATTAAACTTTGTTTGATTTTAACAAAAATTGAATTCTTGGGGTTCTTTGATATGCTGAATCTAAACATGTATTTAGATTTTAGATTTTTGGCCCAGTTTTCAAGTTGGTCCAAATTGGGGTCCAAAATTAAACTTTGTTTGATTTCAACAAAAATTTAATATATGGGGTTCTTTGATATGCTGAATCTAACCATGTATTTAGATTTTTTATTTGTGGGCCTGCTATCAAATTGGTTCATATTGAGGTCAAAAGGGTCCAAAATTAAACTTTGTTTGATTTCATCAAAAATTGAATTATTGGGGTTCTTTGATATGCCAAATCTAACCGTGTTTTTAGATTTTTAATTTTGAGTCCCGTTTTTTAAATTGGTCTACATTAAGGTCCAAAGGGTCCAAAATTAAACTTAATTGATTTTAACAAAAATTGAATTCTTGGGGTTCTTTGATATGCTGAATCTAAACATGTGTCTATATTTTTTATTATGGGCCCAGTTTTCAACTTGGTCCAAATTGGGGTCCAAAATTAAACTTTTTTTGATTTTAACAAAAATTGAATTCTTGGGGTTCTTTGATATGCTGAATCTAAACATGTGTTTAGATTTTTTATTATGGGCCCAGTTTTCAAGTTTGTCCAAGTTGGGGTCCAAAATTAAACTTTGTTTGATTTCAACAAAAATTTAATATATGGGGTTCTTTGATATGCTGAATCTAACCATGTATTTTGATTTTGGACATTGGACCATAATAGGTAAATTAAAAAAATTCAAGTTCTTAGACCACATTCTTTCTGTGTCAGAAACCTATGCTGTGTCAAATATTTAATCACAATCCAAATTCAGAGCTGTATCAAGCTTGAATGTTATGTCCATACTTGCCCCAACTGTTCAGGGTTCGACCTCTGCGGTCGTATCAAGCTGCGCCCAGCGAAGCATTTTATTGTAGTATGTGAGTCTACTATGTTCAGTTACAGATCGAGTTTACGTTTGGTTCCATTCCACTGATTTTTGCCAAAACAACAGACTTTGGACGTTGAACATTTTTTGAAAATAACAGTTACACAGACTTTTTTTCTAAACTTCTTCACATAATGAGCTAATTTTTAGAATGTGAGTCAACTATGATGAGTTACAGATCATGTTTACGTTTGGTTCTGCACCACTGATTTTTGCAGAAACAACAGGCTTTGGACATTTTGTGAAAATAACTGTTAAACAGACTTTTTTTCTAAACTCCTTCACATATTGAGTTGGTTTTTGTCTCGCCGGCTGGAAAACGAGACATAGGCATTGCTTTTCTGGCTCTGGCTCTGGCTCCAGCGACTGCTGTGGTGATGGCGTCAACAATTGTTAAGTTTTCTGCTTAAGTTAGTTTGATAGGAACTACTTATGATAGATCATTGATATTTAATATAAAGTTGCATTACTATCAGTACATATCAGTTTGATGACTATTTCGAGGCCCTGACCCCTAGGTCATGGTCCAGCGACTTTGAATTAAGGAGCAATTTTCAATGTTTAGTTTTGTGCTTAAGTTAGTTTGATAGGATCTACTTGTGATAGATCAATGATATTTTGTATGAAGTCGCATATCAGTTCATATCAGTTTGTCGACTATTTTGAGGCCCTGCCCCCTAGGTCATGGTCCAGTGACTTTGAATTAATTAGCAATTTTCAATGTTAAGTTTTCTGCTTAAGTCAGTTTAATAGATCAACTATATTTTGTAGAAAGTTGTATTACTATCAGTACATATCAGTTTAACGATTATTTTCATGCCCTGCCCACTAGATAATGGTCCACAGACAATTAATAAACCATGTTGCTGTCCATAAGATTGTCTTTTTCTGAATTTTATGCCGACAGGCGAGACATATCTCTGTGTCAACAGTTTATTAGTATGTGAGTCTACTATGATGAGTTACAGATTGAGTTTATTTCTTGTGCTGCTCCACTGATTTGTGCCGAAAGTACGGGATTTGGACTTTCGTGAAAATAACCTTTTGGGAGCTACCATTTGATTTTTATGGGGGGGCTAGGATGAAAAATTTTGTCCTGCATTTTTTTTTAGTTGTAATCTCTGTCCTGCCTTTTTATTTTTTTCTCTATTCGGTCCTGCCTTTTTTTTTTGCCAAGCTGCTCATCCTGCCTTTTTTTTTACTCAAAACTCCTGTCCTGCCTTTTTTTTTTAATTTCATCCTAGCCCCCACCCACCCACCCACCATAAAAATCAAATGGTAGCTCCCTTATACAGACATTCAAATTTCTACTCCTGAAAATGGCTTCAAGCTTTTTTTGTGAGCAAGGTCATTAGTGTCATTCTGACACATCTAGTTTTCCTAGTTTTTCCCAGATCACACTTTTTTTACCCCCTATATCCCACACCCCTACTTTTTTATACCCACATCCAAAAAGTGTAGACTTGAAATTGGAGATTTGATGAATTAAAGACAAATTTAAAAATGTTTTTCGCTTATTTTATGTTCTTTCTATACAATTGTTCACCTATTTTGAAAGAATTTAATCCGTAATATTTCAGACTATTAAAGAGATGAATGCATTATTTTTTTAATTTTCTGTTATAGTTCATAGAGCTAAAGTTGTATGCAAAAATCTAAAATTCGATTTTTCATGTATACATCCATCTTTCAAAACTACTTTATTTTTATAGACTGGTATCAGTTATAAAACATTGAAATTTCTGATGATTATTTTCCTTACCAAATGTACAAGTTTGTTTAAATTAAATCAAAATGATATGCTTTGCTTCATGGTATGATAATTTGATAAAAATAAATCTTACTGGAACCAACATCAAGAACACATTAATTTCTAAATATGGTTGAAATACAACTAATGTTCTCCAGCTGAGCCTAGCAATATTCAAGGTAATTTATACACTGTCCAACAGTGAGTGCCCTTACAATCTGGGTTATTGCGGTAAAGTGCCCTTTCAAACAACTAGCACCTTTCTGCCCTGAGATTCAAGCTGGACCATTGAAAATATTACGAAAATCTGTGACATAGCCCATTTACTGTTCCTTGAACTTAAATTTGAATAGAAAGCAAGTTGATAAAATTATTGTATACATAATATATAAAACAATACATGGACTTCTAATTTTCAAAATGTTAAAAAAAAATCTCATTAAGAATCTACAGTTTACTTTTGCATTGAACAAAAGATGTTTAATAAAATTTTTGAATTACCAAGTTTTTAATGTTGATTTGTTGGTTTACTTAAGAGTAGGTTCACTTTGTAACTGTCAGGTAGAAAAAAGGGGGATATATGTTTTATTTTAACGAAAAACAAACTTTAATCATTTCATTTATCTTTTAGGCATGATATTTATGAACACCAATATAGAGCTATGTTTGTTAAGAACTGTCGTGTTGATACAACAGAGATATTAAAACAGCCGTTACAGAAGAAAAAACGTACCAAAAAACAGAAGACATTAGACACTACAAATAATGAAACAGAGGACAATTTTCATCCTGTTAAATGTACAGAATGTTCCACGGTTGTTGGAGTATTTGACGATGATGAAGTTTATCATTTCTTTAATGTACTAGCTAGTCATACATGAAATTCCATTCTTCAGTATTGAGTGCATTCTATATAAATATTTTCATGAGACTTCACTGAAACTTGGTAATTGGCGAATGAGGTCCTAAACAATGTATATTTTACTAATGATAAACTTTATTTCATTTTTTGGTGTACTAACAGTGAAAAAAACATATCTTTAGATAATTTAAAAACTGAAAAATTGAAATAAATATGTTTACAGTTTTAGTACAAAAATTATACCAGCATCAAGAGAAGTTCTAAGCTCAGGTTAAAATAATATGAACAACCTAGCGTTTCATCCTTTTAAGAATTGCCTGCATGTGTTATTGTATCAATGGATCAAGATGCAAGAATAATTATTGTGCCATATGATGAAATTCCACATACAAGTGTATTATTTTTCAATATGATAAAAACTTTGCAATAAATTCAGATGAAAATACTATATAATTATAGCTTTTGTAGAGATCATTATGAGTTTTTATCAACTCGGAATCAAGGTCTGTTGATATTGATTCTTGTGGTGATATAAACTCATATCGACCTGTACAAAAGATGTAAAGTCCTATGATCCTTCACATTTAACAAAAAAGATGAATATTGTTTCATTTACTTGAATGCCTAAGTTTTACTATAAAACACAAGTCCATGTTCTTTTATAAGAAAATATTTTATTTTATGTTAATTTTCAGAAATGTACTGCTTTTGAATTATTGTCTTCTTGTGCTCTAACTTGCCGACAGCATTTCAGTAATATGCAGTGACCTCAACTATGACACCTCTCGCTAAAAATTTAGCAATGGCATGGTGCAAATGTGAAGGGAAAAACTGTTAAAGAAGAAAAGTAAATTAAAACAAATGTGGAAGGAAGATAGTATTAACTGATTCTTATTGAAAATATGAACACACCAAATTCTTAACAACTGTTATGACAAAGTTTAATTTATAAATAGGAACACATGGAAAATATAAAAAAAAAATTAATAAACATTGCTCTATTATCTCGCTTGTTATACACATGCTTCATGATTCTGTGTTGATTGTTGATCATTAAAATCAGAAACCTGAAGGTTAATTAGCAGCCTAAAATTTCAATCAATAATCACAGAAAGAAATATTTCTTGTTGATTGTATGTTATGGATTCCTAATAAATGTAAAAACATGCACAGAGGTATATGCATGCATTGGATCATTAATTTCCTTAACATTAATATCACCAGACTTTAATTACAACAATTCAAACCAGAAAACTTACCGCCTGATTTATGTACAAAACAATAAACGAAAACCAACTATGATATACAGCAACAAAGGACAACCACTGAATTACATTCTCCTGACTTGGGACGATGCACATACAGAATGTGATGGGGTTAAACATGTTTGTGGGCGCTCCAACCGTCCACTTACCTGGGACAGGGGTGTAACTACATAACATAATAGGAACAAACTATAAAAATCAGCTGAATAGGCCTTAACTTATCAGATCGATACAAAGCACAAAACAACTAGCAAATGCACAAAAACAAATAAAATGCAGATCTGAAAGTACAACTAATTAAAAAAATCATGCATCTAAGAATAAAATAGCAATCAGTACACATCAAACTTCCAATGGAGTTAGTGTAAAGACGTCATTAATAGTCAGAGAAAACATGACATTATGTAATGACAAAATAAGGGTATCAACATCTTGTAGGACCATGAATGTAAATATGTGTATAACACTAATATTTAGTTTGGTTTTAATTTATTGATAACAAAATCAATATTTATACCGATAAAAACAATATTCAACGATCTAATAACTTTTAGAATACGTTTATTTAAAGGATCGATAAGTTTACCCGGATTGTATCTAAATTTACAGGCTCGGTAAACATCATTGTGTAATTAGGATGTACTTTCTATGCATGAATTTGTTTGAGGGCCTCAAGGAAAATTACACAAGTTCTAATTGGGGAACCCTCTTTAAATAAAAAAACATCCTTAATAATTATCGAACCACTATTCTAACCATTTAAACTTGCTATTCTTAATGACATGCATGTAAATATAGCACCTTCCTGAGGTTTGCCGTATACTAAATGTCTGTTTGATCTTGACCTTTGACAGAAAAATCAAATTTATAGTTTGGCAGACATTCTAGATCATTATATCAATCAATTGTATTCATCAGGTAGGTATATCGTACAATGAATACTTTGTTGTATGTTCTTCAAAGTGAACTGATCATTGCATTTGTCCTAAGATGAAAGGGTTTAATTTTTTACTAAAGAACCTTGCCCGTTTACACAAGTAGTAATGGGCAGATGTCTGCCAGTGCATCTGGGTAGAGAAAATTCTGACCAAACTGTTTGATTTTTTTAATTCTAAAAGGGGCTGTATTTAATACAGTTTACGTTCAAATTGATTGAAGTTTATAAAATTGTATTTATCTCAATATCTATTTTCAGAACCACAGACACTAGGGGTATGGACCAATTTTTCTTTTGGGGTTTATTTTTTTTAGAAAATATTCGTTAATAATTAACTCATTATCACTTATTTAATGTGTTGATGCATTTATCCATGCAATATTTCAATAACAGTGATTTATATATTCTGCCTCTTTATTTTTATACATATATTTTTTCGTTTGGGCTTGTATTATATTTGCCTTCGGGTTTATATGATCCGTTCATCCTATTTTGACTCTTTCAAAATTTAAGAGTCTATCCTAAATTGAGGTAAATTATATGGCCTTCCAAATACAATTTCGTTTCCTAACATCACTGAAGAGACATTAATTGTCGAAATCTGGATATGGTGTACAAATTTTTGCACCTCATGTTTGCGGTATACCATCTTTTTCGCAAGTTTATTAATCTGTTTGGTAATAAATTAATAATAAGATCTATTTTGTTACATCTTGTGATCCGTTTATTTGGCAATCACCAATGGCAGTCAGCAGGGTTTAAGAACATCAGTTGTTCGACCTGCTTGTCAAATGCGTTTTGTTAATATATACTTTTTCACTCATTTGGTCTTTTGGAAAATGTTGTTTGTGCTGTATTTAGACCCCTGTACCAAGAAATTTGATTGCATGCACACGTATAAAAATTGCGGTTTTATCCAACGCAATCATAGGTTTGAACGTTGTTTTCAATCTAGACTTGTTTATATTTTTTCGTTTGGGCTTGTATTATATTTGCCTTCGGGTTTTTATGATCCGTTCATCCTAATTTGACTCTTTCAAAATTTAAGAGTCTATTCTAAATTGAGGTAAATTATATGGCCTTCCAAATACCGTTTCGATTCCTAACATCACTGAAGAGACATTAATTGTCGAAATCCGGATATGGTGTACACATTTTTGCACCTCATGTTTGCAGTATACCATCTTTTCCGCAAGTTTATTGTTTTCTGTTTGGTAATACATTAATAATAAGATCTATTTTGTTACATCTTGTGATCCGTTTATTTGGCAATCACCAATGGCAGTCAGCAGGGTTTAAGAACATCAGTTGTTCGACCTGCTAGTCAAATGCGTTTTGTTAATATATACTTTTTCACTGATTTGGTCTTTTGGAAAATGTTGTTTGTGCTGTATTTAGACCCCTGTACCAAGAAATTTGATTGCATTTGTTTTCAATTTAGACTTGTTTATATAATAATATATACACTACTGTTGCTCTTGCTTAAGTTTAAGGTGTTCTTTGTGCTTTTTGATTATTCAATGTATGTGTTGTTTTTAATGGTAACAGTGTCTTCTATCCTTTGTCATGAAATACGTGTTTCTATTTCAATTTTACATTCGGCCACGTTTCACGGTTAGAACATTTATTTCCCGGTTAGAACATTTACTTGACTGATGGTTTATTAATAATTACCAATCCGCTATTGTGTGATTCTATTCAGTTGACCTGCGATCGTCTCCGCTTTTTAAGGGGTTCGTTCGTTTTGCTCAGTCTTTAGTTTTCTATGTTATGTTTTGTGTACTTCTGTTTGTCTTTCTGGTCGTATTTCGTTTTTTGCCATGGCATTGTCAATTTGTTTTCGACTTGTGAGTTTGAATATCCCTTTGGTATCTTTCTCCCATCTTTTTTTGTTATTTTGTAAATAAGTTAAAATATTAGAGAATATTTATTAAAACCAGAAACACCAACAAAAAAAAAAACAACCCAAAAAAACAGGAAAAGAAGGGTCAATGCCCACCAGCACCTGCGTTCAAGGCACTAATTTACAACTTTGTTAGAAGCATTTTTGAGTATTTTCCCATAGATGCAATATTTCATGTTTTTTCATTAATTTTTCTTAAGAAGAAGAGCCTTTGGTCAAGAAAGGATGTTACAGATCAACTATCTATGAAACTGTATTAAAGACTGATATTTTATTAAAGTCGTTAAACAAAACAACAATTTTGCACATTTATTCAATCTATTGTGATTTTTTAAAGAAAAACAATGGTGGTATGCACAGAAATCATGGACATTAATTTGTTTTTTGTGTATTTTTATTATAAGGAAAATGTCTTACGGAATGCAGTTATGATCCATACGTATAAAATCAGTCAGAAATTGTTTTTTCGTTGAGTATTGTAATAAGATTCCTTACCAACATCTTGCGAGAAATGCAACAACATAAACAAGTCGAATGAAAATGTTTTGATTTCTTTACACTATTACAGACCAATATATGAAAGTAAATATTATGGGTACTATACCTATATTTATTTTCCGTTTAGACACAATGCGCCTCAGATTTTATGGCATGTTTAACATAAAAACGCTTTCTGTTGATTTATTAGTAGAAAGGCATATCAGAAATTGCGGCACCCGGGACTAACATTGGTCCTTCTTAAAAAAACTTCCTAAATTTACCATTTTACGATTTTTGTATACTTCTGAATTATCGATATGAGTATATCGTTATGGGTCCATAGAATTACACAAGAAGACCACAGAATACCCGCAAAAAGTTAAAAGTAGAAGTTACGTTTATCTATTAGACTTCAAAAATTCATAATTGGAAAATATACTAAATAGTTTTTATTTAAAAAAAATAGGGCGTTGTATGACATTCTTGTGTCTTTCTATGTTTCGATCCATGTCCTGGTGACCGTTCATTAATTATTGCAATAAAATGAAAATTGGGATTATTTCATATTTTATAATTAAGGGAGACATGACACGATTTTTTTATTTTTTTTTATTATTAAATTAAATAATATTAGTCTTAAAACATATTTTGTACAATTTTGCTGGTCAAAACCTGATAAATCAGCATTTTTCTGGTCCAAGAATCTAGCGCTTGTCATAATGACTGAATTTTAATTAGATAACGATCACGTGATCGTGCTTACGTCAGTGGTTACAAGCTGGGAAAATGTCTCTTAACTGGACGATGTCGATACACTATGGACGGTATTGACAGCACTTTTCCCGATTACTGACAAACTATAAAGACATTGTGTGTGAAAAATAACAAAGAAAAGGATGCGAAGAGTCAAAAAACGACGATTTTTCAGACAATACCGATCGGATTGTTACAATACATATTTGGTTTGTCTGATGAATAAAATTAATAGACCGCTTTCTGCATTTTTTCATTTAAATAAAACTAGTTTTTAATCATGATTGAAAATATAAATTTCTAATTATTGATGATCAAATTGTTCTTTTTTTTTTCTCTCTGTTACGGTAATGTTATAATTATGTGTGCGCCAGAAGCAGAAAAAAAAGATAGTAAAAGTCAAATTAGGCGTTCGCAAAGTGTCCTTTTTATACGACCGCAAATATTAAAAATTTTTTGGTCGTATATTGGTATGACGTTGGCGTCGTCGTCGTCGTCGTCGTCGTCCGAAGACACATTGGTTTTCGCACTCTAACTTTAGTTTAAGTCAATGGATCTCCATGAAATTTTACCATAAGGTTCAAGACCACGAAAGGAAGGTTGGGATTGATTTTGGGGGTTATGATACCAACAGTTAAGGAATTAGGGGCCAAAAATAAGCATTTTTGTAACTTCCAGACAATAACTTGTGTGTAAGTGTATGGATCTCTCTGACATTGTACCACAAGGTTCCATATCACAAAGGGAAGGCTGTAATTGATTTTGGGGGTAATTGCCTCAAAATTTTAGGAATTAGGGGCCAAAAAAGGGGCAAAAAACAAGCATTTTTCTA